TACTCAGGCCAGTGGCTCGGTGCTTCTGGTTGCTCTGGGATCTGCCTGCCCGCTGGGCTCTGCGGGACCCCAGTAGCACAGTGGGAGCACCCCAAGCTCTTGTGGATGAGCCAGGCCCCCACCCCCTTCTCTTCCAAATGAACGCTAGCAGTTCCTCCCGCCCGCCCGTCTCTCGCCTCTCCCCACACTCGCCGGGTTTGTGGGTGCAGCCGGCATAGGTGTCCGTCCTGATGAATAAGGAGTAAACATGCTGGAATGAGCAACTGAAGCGTGAGGACAGCTCCCCCAGCAAGAAAACAGCATCCCCAAGACACCCCGAGCCTGAGTGTGGTCTGGCCCCGCCCTGGTCTCCCCCGCCCTGGGTGTGTAGCTGGGAGCCATGAGATGGCCAGGGAGGCAGTGTTCCTTCGGGGGACCTGCCCGGACCCCGACGTGCCATCCAGCCGCTGGGGCTGCGGGCACGCTGAACAGCAGCAACCCCGCCCCCGAGCTGCAGGGAGCCACCGCGTCTGCAGGGACTGGCGTGGCCCGGGCCCTCGCCTAGGGCCCCCTTTGCCTGCAGGGACCTCACATTCGCGGTCATTTGACCTCGGCTCCTGACTTCCCCAGGCCTCCGCTGGCCTCGGTGGGCAGCAGCGGGACATCCGGCTCCCAAACCCTGTCCTGCTTTCCCACGCGTCCTCCCCGAGCCGCTGTCCTGAGACCCCGACGGCCGTCTGCCCTCCTGCGCTCTGGGCGTCGGCTTCAGTGGCTGTGACCTTGCCCACCACAGCCTGCCGTGGGCCGGCCCCGCCGCTGAGGCTCTCACGTCCCCCCCACCCCACCCCACAGGTCTATGGCCAACCTCTCCGTCCTGTTTGGCCAGGTGAGTGGAAGGTTGGGGTGTCCTGAGGGTCGGACACTGGACCCGGGCCTGACGCACCTCAGCCCTTCCCCAACCCCGCACCCCAGATGCCCCCCCGCCCCCCACCGACTGCAGGCTGACCCCTCCAGGTGGTGCGGGGCCTGAGCGCCGGCGCCCGAGTCTTCGAGTACATGACGCTGTGTCCGGGCATCCCGCTGTCCGGGGGCTGCCGCGTGCCCAAGGAGCACCTGCGTGGCTCTGTCGCTTTCCAGAACGTTTCCTTCAGGTCAGTTCCACGTGGGGCGGGCCTGGGACCAGTGGGCTCCGGCCTCCCCCTGAATAAGCCCCCCAGAGGTGCAGCGAGGCTTCACAGGGGACCAGACACAAGGGGGTGCGCCCTGGTCTGACGGTGGTCTCTCGGCCCCCAGCTACCCCTGCCGCCCTGGCTTCCCGGTGCTCAGAGACTTCACCCTTACGCTGCCCCCTGGCAAGATGGTCGCCCTGGTGGGCCAGTCCGGGGGAGGTAAGAGGAACGCCTGGCTGCTGGCCGCGGGGGGCTGGAGAAGGGGCCTCTACCCCACCGAGGCTCCCTTTCCTGGCACAAGCTCCAGAAAGCAGGCCCCTCCTCACTGCCCTGACCCCCACTCCAGGCAAGACCACCGTGGCATCCCTGCTGGAGCGCTTCTACGACCCCACAGCCGGCGCTGTGCGGCTGGACGGGCAGGACCTGCGCACCCTCGACCCCTCCTGGCTCCGGGGCCAGGTCATCGGCTTCATCAGTCAGGTGTGGGGGGCCCCTGGGCGCCGGCCCCAGCCCACCCCGCTTCCCCGAGCTCCGCTTCCCTCTCCGGCCTTCGGCGCTTGGAGCTGCCTGCCAGGGCCCTGGCAGTCTGCAGTGTCCAGCGGCCCAGAGTTCCCACAGTGGCACTGCTGGGGACTGCTGGGGGCCCACGGCACCCCACCGCTTGGCCCTGAGCCCTGGGCCTCGCCACGTTCTCTGTAGGAGGCCTGTCGTCCCATGCGTGGGGAGCCAGGGCACCCTGACAGAGCCCGAGAAGGGCCAAGCGCAGGCCCCTCCCTAGCTCGCCGGCCACCCCCGTCCGGGACCCCACTCCTGAGGGACACCGTTCTGGACGCTGCGTCTCCCTGCCTTGCTGGGCCCCTCCGTTCTCCTTTGACCCGTGGCTTGGAACCGCCCGACCTGCCGGGCCCTCAGGGCTTCGGGGCACAGTCAGACGTTTGCTGTGGACACCCTGCCCCAGGAGCCTGTCCTGTTCGCAACGACCATCATGGAGAACATCCGTTTTGGGAAGCCGGATGCCTCCGACGAAGAGGTGTATGCGGCTGCCCGAGAAGCCAACGCCCACCAGTTCATCTGCAGCTTCCCTGAGGGCTACAACACCGTGGTGGGTGCGTCTGGCCTGACCGCGTGAGGGGTGGTGCGCAGGGGCCTCGGGAGGGCCGAGGGGAGGCAGGACAGGCCCGAGCAGCCGAGTCGGGCCAGGAGCAGCGTCCCCGCCGCGACCGCGCTCTCCGCCACTTCTGTCCTCTGCGCCTTTGCTTCACCCGCTCCTCTGGCGTCCAGCCGCCTGGCAGAGCGGCCTCTTCTGACTTCCCCGGGGAGGGCGCGGACGGTGCCGGGACACTGGAGCAGGCCGGTGCATGCCAGATGACGCTCCGGCCTCAGCTCTGCGTGGCTCCGGGGTCCTCTCCGGCACCTGCAGCTGCCCGCACCCTCGACAGGCGGAGCTGGGCTCGGCTCCCGCTGGCGGCTGGTCTGGCCACTGCGGCCTCTGCGCTCTGAGCTGCCGAAAGGCGTCCTCTGCCGCCGGTCACGGAAGCAGCTCTGGGCCCGCCCGCTGGGGGCCGGCCTTTGCTCGGCCTCGGGCCGCCCGCTGCTCTGGGCTGCTGCCCCTCCAGGCTCCTTTGGGTTCCCCACTGCCACCCCTGCATTTCAGCCCCGCATGGACCTTAAAGAATGCTGGGGCGTGAGCTTCAACACCCCCAGGCTGTCACTGTGCCCCTCCCCCTGGTTCTGGATGTCCCCACAGCAGCTGAGACCCAGCAGGCCAGGGGGAGATGGGGCGCTGGCAGGGCGCACCCCCCGCTCCCCTCAGGGCTCCCGGCATGGTGAGCCGCCCCTGGGGGCCCTGGGACCGGGGTCACCTGCCTGCGCATCGCACGGGGCCTGCAAGTTGCGAGAGACGCCCCTTCCGCCCTCAGAGCCGTCTGAGGGGCCTCGCCCGTGGGGGCGCTCACACCCTGCCCGTGTCCCCCTGCGCAGGAGAGCGGGGCACAACCCTGTCTGGTGGCCAGAAGCAGCGCTTGGCCATCGCCCGCGCCCTCATCAAGCAGCCCGTGGTGCTGATCCTGGACGAGGCCACCAGTGCGCTGGACTCGGAGTCTGAGCGGGTGGTGCAGGAGGCCCTGGACCGCGCCAGTGCCGGCCGCACCGTGCTGGTCATCGCTCACCGCCTCAGCACCGTCCGGGGGGCCCACCACATCGTGGTCATGGCCGACGGCCGCATCTGCGAGGTCAGCCCCCGGGGCCCCGCCCCACCGCCGCCAACGCTGTGCGGGCCTCGGGCTGAGGGAGGCCGGGACGGCAGGCTCCGGCGCGGCGCGTCCCGGCCCCGCTCTGGTTCGAGGCTCGGGGTGCCGAGGCCACGGGTTGGGTGACCCTCTACCCTCTGCGCGCTCCAGATGGGCACCCACGAAGAGCTCCTGAGGAAGGGCGGGCTCTACGCGGACCTCATCCAGAGGCAGGCCCTGGACGCCCCCGCCCCCGGCAGGCCCGGCGGCCCGCGCAGCCGCCACCCCAAGTCCTGAGACGCCCGCCGAGGGCCGGTCACCGCCAAGCCTTGGGGCCAGGACCGCGGGAGGCGCTGCCGGAGACCCAGCGACCGAAGGCCGCGGCGCTGCTCCCTGACCACAGTGAGCCGGCTGGTGGCGTCCCGCCCTCCCGGCACCGGCGCCGGCCGCAGCCTGCTGCCAGAGCACTGGCCAGGTCGCATGGCGGACCCTGGCCTCCGGCCCTCTGCTCTGTCCTGTCCGGTTGCCCAGCCCCTCCCCCTCCCCTCTGCCGACCCGCCTCAGGCGGCATGGCGCCAGGGGCCCGGGGCAGACCTGGGCTGGGTGAGGATTCAGATAAGGCTCTTAGACCTCAGCACCCGCCCCCGCCCCGCCCCGCCCCGTGAGGAGGAGCCGCGGTCCCCACCAGCAGCCCTTACTCCAGATGACTGGCCCCCCTCACCCAAGTGGCCGGTCTGGTCAGTTGCCAGGCAGGTACCTGGAGGCCATTCCCTAGATGCTGCCCCCCCCCATGCACGGGCCAGCCCCTGGGGAGCACACAGCCCTGAAGGCAGGACGCGAGCCCTGGGGCTGTGGGCCACAGTCACCAGACCAAAGGGCCTGATGGCAGCCTCGGGCTGACACACCAGCCAGGTCAGCCCCAGAGTGGGACGGCAGCCCCAGCCGGAGTTGAGGTGGTCGGCCTGGGGCTCCCGTCTTTGAATGAGGCATGGGCTTCTGGAGGTTCCAGAAGGGTTCAGCTGAAGGGCCCTTGGGTCAAACTGGCCTTTGAGGCCACCAGGCTCTCTGGGGGCTGGGCTCTGCCCCTGCTGTGGCCTGCAGCTGCCTCCAGGCTGAGAATTCCAGCAGCCCTGCTCGCCCTGGGGGAGGGGCGGCCTGCAGGCTTCTGGAACCTGCCTGTGGCCCCAGGGCAGTGCCGAGGAGCTGCCTCAGCTGGGCCTGGAAGCCAGCCTGGGGGAGGTGGCAGTGGACCCATGTGGCTAAGGAGCCAGGCTGAGGGTCCCCAAGGCTCTTCCATTGCTGCTTTGGAGACAGCACCCGTCTTTACCCAGGTTGAAGACCCGACTTCCTGACTGGGCAGCCGTCCAGGAAGCAGAGGCCTGGCTGGCTCCACTGCTCTGCCACTCAACACCTCCCCACAGGGGCAGCCTCGGCGTCCAAGCAGCCGCCTGAGCCGCCCTGGGCGTGTGGTGGCCGGGGAGCAGCAGCCCAGCCAGGCAGCATCTGGCCTCCGGCCCGGCCGCTGGACACCTTGACACCACATGCCAGCTCTTACCTCACTGGGGCAGCGGCGTCCAGGCCGCGCACTCCCCGGACCTTCCCTCACGCTCGGCGCCGGCCGGCAGCCTGGCCGCACTCCATCGCGGAGCTTCTCTGAAGACTAACGGGAAAACCTGTGGTCAACTGAAAACTGCTGGGCCGCAGCTCAAGGTGGTCGGGGCGGCAGTAGCCCTTTGGCCACTGGCCGCCTTCTGTCCTCTGCCGCGGTGCCAAGGACCGCCGGCCCCGTCTCAGAACAGACGGGAGGGGACGGGAGCCGGCCCACCTTGCCTCTGCCTCCGGGCGCCTGCGGCCAGCGCCCTCGCGCGCTTTGTAGCAGGAGATGGAATAGAAGTGGTTTCTGTCAGCAAGGCGGCCACGGCTGCTTTCTCTCCGCGGTGCGCGCCCCCGCCCAGGCCCAGGACGCCAGGAGCAGAGCTTGCCTGGCTGGGGGGCGGGCCCGCGGCCGGCTGCCCAGCCCCCCCGCTGCTGGCCCACCCCCTGCCCCTCAGGCCTGGCGCTGACCCCGCAGCCGGCGCTGTTCGGAGGTGTCTGCTCCCCGCCCCGCCCGCTGGCCTTGCTGGGTCAGCAGCATCCTCGGCCGCTGCGCAGAAAGGGCACGGCCAGTCCCAGTCGTCGCGGGGCCGCGTCCTCACATTCCCGGGCGCCTTTCTATTTCAGGGAGCTTATCACATCTGCGGGGCGCCACTGAGAGCCCCATTGTGTGTAGGGAGAGGCTGGAAACCCCCATGGCCTCGAGTGGGGCGTGAGCCACCCATGGGGCGCGGGGGCCAGAGACCGGCCGCTCGAGACAAGACCAGGCCCCACGCTACACCAGGCAGGGCGGCGGGGAGCCCCATCCCTGCAGCAGAGGCGGGGGGCCTGGGCGCGAGGAGGTGGGGAAGGGGGTCCCTCGAGACCGAGGGGCCGCGGCCGTCCAGCGTCGCGGCACGCTGGGGCTCCGAAAGAGGAACCTGCCGAAGCCAAACCTGCCACCGCTTTCCGCTTGGTCAAGAGCCAGCACTGCTCTTTGTGAAACAGCAGATGGCCCGGAGCGGAGCGGGGAGGCAGGGAGGGGCTGGGGCAACGGTCAGTGCTGACCTCAGGCTGGACTTGCAGGCTGGGAACAAGGCGCCCCCAGCCTCAACCTCCCTGGTCCCCTTCAAGCCCTACCCAGGACAGCTGTGGTTTTCCGCGGGCGCCTCTGCTCTCCACACCCCCGGCACTAATGGCTCAGCCTGGGGCCCCAGGGACCTCCCCCCGCCCCCCCCCCCGACTGCTCGCCGGCCCCCCTGGCCCCCTCGCTGCTGAAACCCAACCCTCTGCGGCAGCCCAGGCGCAGCCTCCCGCACAGCAGAGCTGCTTCCAGTCGCCGCCCTACCTGCTCTGCTGCAGAGCCCCAGCCGGCGCCGGGCCCCGAGGAGCCGCAGCGGCCCGGGGGCTCCCCAGCGCACCCCGAAGCTCCAGCGCGCCGGGCCCCGAGGAGCCCGTCATCTACCTGGACGCCGAGGACGACTGGGCCTCCCCGGAGGTGCTGGACCCGCTGCTGCTGCTCCTGGACGCGCCCGGCTTCCGGGCCTGCTTCCGGGGCCTGTACGACCTCGCCGCGCTGGGCCCGGGCGGCCTCTTCCGCGGCTTCCGCGACG